TGTTTTGAAATTTTAACTCCATAATACCTTATACACATCAATGGCGTAATCGCTTTCAAGGACCTTGGATGGTATATACCAACTGTTATAGATCACGACACCCTATGATCTAATTTCTCTTTAAACGTGATCTTTCTAATCCAGACAATATTGACTTTGTTTTAAATTTTTAAGTATATCCCTCGTGAACTAGTTTAGTTTTAGTACAGCGAGGCCTTGAGACTGAACTAATTTTACTAGGTGGCCATGAGACAAAGGTTGACCAACTAACTTTCAATTCTTTTTACGTAATTTTTCAAATTCTACTTTCAAAATGAAGTGCGATATTGGAAGGTCAACTTGAACTAAACTGAGGTCCTGTGCACTCAGAGATTTCTTATTAACGCACTGGAAGCCAAGTGCTCTAATCCATGACCAATATGATGTACAACTTTCTTACTTACTTACTCTGATGGTGTTGTTATGTTATAGACAAATTGGCGTTCGTACAACAGTGCTCAGCTCTACCAACCCGGCAAGATGTAGAACAGTATGGCGTAAAACTTGAAAGAAAACAGTCATAATTTACGATATCTAGTTTGTCAGGCCACCAGAGCTATATTTATACGATCAATTTTGTTGACATGCCTTTTGGTATTTGATGTTAAATAGAAGATACTATTAATATCTTCACATCGACCCAAAGATGCTGTGGCTTTGTCAATAACAAACGGTGGCCGCTGGTAAACCAACATTCAACTGATATGGATTTATATGCATTGGAGATACTCTTCCGGAGATAGTGTCGAGTCAGTTATTGGCACTTAATCTTTTCGGTACACAGAACAGAAAGCATAATAATTGCTATTTTCGAAAGTATTGTTCGATATTGTACTTTTGTCGGATGAAGTACTTTTCGTCTGTAAGAGAACTTGTGTTAATTATCAAATAATACACTTGCAAGCAACAGAATAGCCACATTACACAATACGTCAACCATGTGCCGTCGCCTCGTCAAAAGGCCATGAACGTTGTGATAAGGGGTTGGCGTTGGTCAAACATCCGCATCGACTCTGTTCCCCTTATTGACCAGTTTAATACTTCCCACCTAACTTGTGTCACAGGAGATGTTTAATTAGATACATCGTGTTGGTTATTTTACCACGGTCCAGCTCGTAGCCAGGGTGTCAATACCCTATTGTAGACATCCTGCCATAGTCTAAAAGTACAGCATTCTTAACAATCGGCTTTCTATACTGTGTCAATACAAAGATGTTTCAAACCTTTGCCAAGATTCAACTTTAGCATCTCTCTTCTCTAAAGTTGTTTGTGTTGTCTATTGTGTCCGAGCTGGGCATTTAATCCCTTGATTAAAAAGCTTTGTCCACCTTTGTTTAGCAATATCCTGCCTTTCAATTGTTCGTGTCCGGTATCTGTGTTAAACGTAATGATAAGGTCGTGCCGTGTGATGGGGTTTCGTTTAATTTTTAATATTTGTTCAGATTTGATACACTGACCATACACTCTTTGTACGAGTCATTATTTACTCAAATTTTATGCACAGCTGTATGAAGTGGTGTTGATTTTGATTAAGCTTTAGTGCCTTTGGAATTAAGTGGCAACACATTTGATCCTTTCCTGTATGCTTTTAAACATGAAATACATGTTCACATTATGGTCCTTTCAATATACTTCTATTTGATCAGTTGATTATACTGTTTGATATCTTTTCAAACAATAATACCAAAGTGTGCTTTATTTCCGGACGCAGCAACAAACGTTCTTTGGCCATCAAGGAAGCATTTGGTAAATCCGTTCTGAAACTGAAGTAGCTATTTCTTGATTTGGTCCGAGGTTCCAATGTTTTCATTAGAAACTTTGTAGCTATGAATACCGGATATTTACGTCACTAGCAATTCTTTCTTAACATGTAATATGCTTTTAGAAGCCCAATGCCATAAAAAAAATATCAGTTTTCATTATGCCTTTTCCAAACTAGCATGTAAAAATGAAGAGAGAACATCCTCACGTCAAGCCAAATTTAATTAAGTCCACTCCAAGATACTATATAAATACTTGAAGACTATCAATTAAACTCTGTTCAACATGTCAGCTTGATCTCTTGTGTAAATAGTTTATTGTCACATAAACTTTATTTTTCACCAATTTTTTCTCCACTTTTCATGTCAACCCCTTAGCGGGGGATAACACCGGTGGTCAATTAAAACTTAGGTCAAGAAAAGCTGAAGCGGATTGCTTGACAACTTGTAATTGAGTTCATGTGGAGATTGTTCCTCTCTGAGAATCAAAATCCCCAAAGCAACATCTGTATCAGAGTGATGGCTATTCATACATATAGACGGTATCTTTTAACGCCAGGGCGGTTACTATCCGATGCTTGTTCTTCGGGTGCTGTACAGTCTTGGTTAAAAAAAAATCTTTGAGCAAGACCACCAAACTGGATAAATAAGTATGACCAAATCATATGATAGGAAAAAAATAAACTGTTCGGGTTTCAGCTTACTAAGAATTAGGATAGGCCACTTCAGCGTGCTGGGATACATGTCTGTCGCTTCAGTATACAAGTACTAGGATAGATCGTTTCAGCATACTAGGAAGTAGGATAGGCCACTTCAGCGTGCTGGGATACATGTATGTCGCTTCAGTATACATGTACTAGGATAGGTCGCTTTGGCATACTTGGATATGAGGCTTCAACCAACTAGGATAGCATAATTGAAATCCATAACGTACATCTTTGGTCTTGCTGTAAACGCACAGTTTCGGTTTAAAGGTGGTTTTTGATTTTATTTGATTGAAGCCTGGTCGAATGACATATGCTAACGATCTGGAAGAATGCCTATTCAACAGAGCATTCGCATTAGAATGGGGCTCTGAAATGTTACAGTTGAATGATACCATTGGCATCTAAGGTGTCTAATTTGTTATTTTTAATCCGCGACAAGTTCAAGTAAACACCAAAAACTGTGAGAAAGGGAGAGAATGGTCAGAAAATGACAATTGGCCGGAGACTGGACATTAGATGCTTTGTGGAAAAAAATGGAAAAAGATTTATTCACATTCCTCGTAGTTTGCATTAACTTATTTTTTGCTTTTGTTTCCTTTTGTTGTGTTGACCTGCTGATATGAGTAACAAACACGACAAAGCGAGTGAGATTTTGGAAAATTGAGAACCATCCTAGTCTTCTTGGCACGAAACGTTCTCATCATTTGATCGTCATGTCTCGTTCCCTTTATCTTGAATTAAAGGATTTACCAAGCTTGTCGAATAACAAAGGTTCAACCAAACTGAAATCGATATGAAAGCTATTGTTCGGCCAAATTTGACGATTTCTCGCCACCTCGCTTGTTTATCAACAAATCTGTTTGAAAGTTGAAGACTCGCTGTTAAGATCTCTTCAATGTACTGTAACCAAATAACTAATAGATAAAATCGAGGGAGAATTTTCTTATGGATAAGCGAAACTATTTTGATTGATGCAACTGTATACAATACAAATCGAAAAAATAGCAATGCCATAAAATCTTGTAAAAGCTCTAGTTAGAAATAGACCGACTGAAGAAGATCCCACAAGCGAGCAAAGACATGTTCAGCTTTCAGCATCTCTATAAAAAATGGCACGACATGGAGAACTTTTACTTTTGAGTCCCTTGACTTTACTGAAGACTCGAAATTGGAAAGGCTGGTAATTGATGGTTTCATCTGCTTAATGAAAAGACAATTTAAACTATGTTACAGCATAGAATGGGATTAAGAGATGAAAGAGTCCCTAAAATACCATCAAAGCATGTAAACATGTAGAGGTGACAATTGCGGTCAATGTAGCGGAAGTACTTCACAGTGAAGGAGGTCGTCCTTATGGATTAGCTTAACATTGTTGTTGCTCGTCCATTCGATTCTTTAATTTGATAAAAATTCGGTTTCAAAATATTTGTATTGATCTCGAGATTATTTTTTCTATCTTTTTAATCAACTATGACAGATGTTTGATGTTATTTTAATTTCTAAGAGATTTAAGAGGGTTCACAATATCAATAAACACAAAAAGCGCGAGTGTGAAATTCACAATTCTCTTACACCTGAACTGCGATTTAATTATGTTTTGATAATTCGAATGCTTCTATAAAATCTGATAAAACAAATAAATGACAAGCGATTTTCAAAAGGTCCTTGTGTCCCAACTGTATTTTCTTATTTTAATGAAGGTGGTGACAAGCCCGAAGGGGTCGGGACCAATTCTTACAGACACTGATTGACCTTTGATTAAACAACATAAAATCTTTAATGGAATGCGACTTGGTCATTACCATTACAATAGACGATGGGGTAAATTAAAGGGCAAATCTTATAATGACTAAATTATTTACGTGAAACACAGGCTATGTAGGGCCAGAATTTAATTTACATTTCATTTATTTTGAAATGTGTGTCAATTGTACCTTTCAAATGATATTCTTATCCCTTACTAAAAATGAAATTTGTTAGGAAATGACGTAAGTGCTATTGGAATTTCAAATAAGTGCAATTTGCACATCTTTTAATTCATTAGGAAGGGTACAATTTCTCTCTCATTGCACTTATCATAATATTAGTAAGTCAAGATTGAGGTGAAATCCATACTCCATTAAATTGAAGGAAAACTTTCCACCCTGTAATTAAAGTAATAATTAAAATTAAGGTGCACCCAATCATGTAATTACACTTGCTTCAATAGCAATGGATAGAAAATTAAATACAAATTAAACGGCCCTTAATTTAGTTATAATTTACATACAAATTAATTTTAAAACCAGGCAATCATGTAATTGCACTTGTTAGAATGCCTATTAAACATATGAACGGCACTTTGTTACGGACTAGAAGATCACCCCCTTCCAACAATTACATTCAACCAAATAGATAAGAACAGTTGGACGCAACAGTCCAATTCATTTCAAATTGTAGCTATTCATTCATGTAACTGAACTATGTTTAATAGTGCTTTAATTACATATTTCAGAACACAAAGAAAAAGAAATACCGCTTCAGCTTAGTGGTAGATGAACTGAGAGCTACGGATAATGTCCATTATAAAATCATTCTATTGGAATTCATCAACTGCCTTATAATTTATACAGATAAAGCCGAGAACAGAATTCGCATCAGAAATGAATTTTTCAGTAAGTACCTTTTTTGAATATTCTATGCATGCCACCATGCTTTATCTTGTTGAATACCTGATGCAAATAATTTGTCAAAATTGCATTCTATGGTGCAATGATAAACTGGATTGGATATGGTGTAAATCAAGGGGAGCTTTTAGATCCCTTATCATTCCCTATTTCTATTCTTGACCTCGAAGAACATTGTGTTATTTTCAATTCGGACAACTGCATTGTTAACGAATCAGAATTTTCGAGGAGATCGTAGCATTGTGGGTCTCTATGTGAAGTACACTTCTGAACTATCTCGCTAAGCTCTGGACTCATATTTTATAACCTTAAGGGAGGTCACTATCTGAATAAGATTTATTGTTAGAACGGAGTAATAATTCATATAAAACAATATTTAAATCATCGAGTAGGTCCATAATAAGTATTTAACCGAGCATTTAATGGTAATGTTTATTAAGAGGTAATCGTTAATTCAAGGTTAGTCTAGAGAAACACAAGAAAACCAGTTCAACAACAAACTGTACTGATGACTGTTCTATTATACTGATGATGAATTAAAAATAATGACCATATTTGTTTCAAAGTATTTCCCATTTTAAGACATCTGTTTTGCTGTAAAAATAATTTTAGAACCAGTCATCTCATTAAATGGCTTGTGGCCTTGCTTTGGTCATTAAAATGAATGGCCATGTAGGCGTAGATTTATGATGTATACCATTTCCTTTCATCTATTTTAGACACATTTTCAAATACGATTGTTTCAAAAATATGCCGTAGATACAGGGTGGTAACGAAAGCCCCCCTTAACCCCCTGAAAAAATTCTGACAACTGACCAAATCTGTTAACACCATTGACCATTGCCCCTACGGATATATTATTTGCTCCTCTGAACAATCAGGTCTGGTTACGGGTCTGTCTAAGGGACCATACAAGAAGCGATAAGTAAAGGGTTTTTTTTATACCATCAACTTTACTGGTTTCGTGCACATGGGCCTTAAAGCTCCCAAACACGGATTTTCTTGAGTAATTTAGAACCTCCAATATAGAAAATTGAAATGACACCAGAAAAAGTCTCTAAATCGTTCAACAACATAAGATTAAAAAACTAATGGAATTAACTTATGCACATATTCACGGAATTTCGATGCAATTGGCTGAAAAGGGGTTAAATCAACGTCTCGAAATTTTGACACCACATGTAACCTTAGCTATTATTTCTATGTTAGACACTTAACCCCACTCTTCAAAATACATTAACTCCTCATTTTAAATACTTATATAGTATTTACTTAGTAGGTTGACTTCATAAACGTACATTTGACGTAGTTGTCCATAATACATACACATTCTTGACTTTCAAGAAAAGGGAGCGGGGGGGGGGGGGGGGGGGGGGGGGGGTAAAAACCGGGGAAAAAATTAAAAATTTTTACCCCGGGGGGGAAAAGGGGGGGCCCCCAAAAATTTTTTTGT